AAAAATAATCCTTATGCAACTTGTCAGTTATTTCAATTTAAATAATTTAATCCACAATAGTCAATTCGGTTTTTCCAAAGGTCGTTCAACTACAGACGCAGGTGCAGAGTTGCTTAGACACGTATTTGCTGCATGGGAAACTAAAATGGATTTGATAGGTGTTTTTTGTGACCTTTCTAAGGCTTTTGATTGCGTTGATCATAATACATTGCTAAAAAAACTTGCTTTTTATGGCGTCAAAGACAATGCTTTAAATTTAATAAAATCTTATCTATCTGATAGAATACAGAAAGTGAAGATTAGCAACGCTACGTCTGACGGGTCACTTGTGCAAATGGGTGTACCTCAAGGATCTATTCTCGGTCCATTTTTATTCCTAGTTTACATTAATGATCTCCCATATGCCATGCAGGATAGATGCGGCATAGTATTGTTTGCAGACGATACTTCATTGATTTTTAAAGTTAATAGAATGACTAATAATTATGATGATGTAAATAGTGCTTTGCGGCGTCTCCTGCACTGGTTTACAACTAACAATCTTATGTTAAACGCTAAAAAAACAAAATGTGTTAATTTCTCTCTATCTAAAAGTTTTAATACTAATTGCAATATTAAATTAAATGACGAATCTCTCGAATTTATAGAATCTACTGTCTTTCTAGGAATCACACTAGATAATAAAACACAATGGGGTGCACAAATTCAAAGCCTTGCAGCGAAACTAAGTTCAGCAGCTTTTGCCGTGCGTAAAGTTAGACAGTACACTGATACTGATACTGCTAGATTAGTCTATTTTAGTTATTTTCATAGTTTACTCTCTTATGGAATATTACTATGGGGAAAAGCGGCAGATATTAAGAATATATTCATATTACAAAAACGTGCCGTTCGAGCGATCTACTGTATGAAGAGTCGTGACTCATTAAGAGAGAAATTCAAAGAGGCAAATATTCTCACCGTTGCTTCTCAATTTATATATTCAAATATTCTATATGTTCATAAAAATCTTGACTTATTTCCAAAAACAGCAATATTCATAATATTAATACTAGATTTAAAGACAAACTTGCTGTCCCCAAGTATCGTTTAGAAAAAGTTAATAGGTCTTTTATGGGAATAGGTATAAAAATTTACAATAAGATACCAAAGGATATGTTGGAATTACCCTTAAATAAATTCAAAACATCTGTTAAATCATATTTACTGAGCAAAGCCTATTACTCACTAAACGATTACTTGAATGACGAGTGTGCATGGCAATAGTTGTTCATGCACTGAATTTTCATTTAATGTTAGACATAGACACCTATATAAATATACATTGTAAATAAACTGGCTTTAAAAAAAAAAGTAATTCAATTGAGTTTCTTGCCAGTTCTTCTCAATTGGATCTATATACCGAACTGGACGGTAGGGTAAATATAAAATTATAATGTAAAAATTTGACGTTCATAAGCGGCTAAAATGTCCTACATGAATAAATGATTTTTGAATTTGAATTTGAATTTGAGGTCGAACACGATTTCGTGCGTAGTACCTCTGGGACAGGGACAAACCGGGATATGTTGGGGGGAAGGGATTGTTAATTATGGAGACTAACAATCCCATTGCTAGCAATATACCCAACCAGGTCGACCTCCTCTCAGTTCTCCCTGGAAACTATCATGGTTAATTCCTGATGAATTCATCATGACGGGCTAACTGGCCTGTTTTCATTCTCATCTATCACCCTTCACTGGTGCTCCGCCAGCGTACCCCGTTAGCGCAGGCGGGGTTACCATACTATTTTCACCCATAAAAAAAACTAGGTTATGTTTTCCGGCTTGTGTTGGGTTAAAAAGCTGCTTATACCCTTCTCCGTCTCGTAGTGAAGCAGCTCTGATGCTATAAAGCAACAAACAAACTCACTTTTACATTTATAATATTATTAAGAATTTACTACCATGTCTATTCTTTTTAATGGACGATAATGGAATGGTAACCCCGCCTGTGCTATCGGTATACACTGGCGGGGCATCAGTGAGGGGTGACAGGTGAGGATGAAAGCAGGTCAGTTAGCTAATGGTGACAAATTCCAGTAGAATTATTTACAATAGTTTCCAGGGGGAACCGCGTGGAGGTTGACCTGATAGGGTGTTGATAATTATGGGGACATTAGACCCAATTACTAGCAATCCCTTTCCCCTTACCATGTCTATTAACATATGTTATTGACATATATTATTATATGACATATACCTTGCTACCAAGGTCAATTGTTGCGGTTTGACCTTGACATTTCCTCTAGTTTGTCTTTTATTAAGAATAAAGGCTAACTCTTCTTTAATCCAAAATCTTTAATCAATGATTAGTGATTACATGCTCTGTGATTTAGTTGTAAATTATAACTAAACAACAGAGCATGTAATCACTAAGTTACTCGAGAGACGACACTGCCCTTCTATTGATGAAACTGGAAAATGAATTTATGCAACCACATAGATGTACCTATAAAATAAATTAATATTCATAGTGTTGTACAACTATTTGTAATAGGCATCTGTTCAAAATATCGTTGTCAACAAATATCATAAAAGACATAGCTACTTTTTAGTAGGGAAGAAGGGAAACTTCATGTGGTTACTAAGTTGACCATTACCAGAGGGAGACTTTGTACAAAATTCGATTGCTTGGGTACCTCTGTCTGGTAAAGCAGTTGTGTTTCGATTTGAAAGGTGGAATATGGTGTGAAGTTATAGGGTACGGAGGAATAACAACTGAGTCCTCAGGAATGGCAACGCATGGGGGGTATCATGGGCGAAACAGTATACTCTGTTATGTCCATGGTACTGTTCATGTCTATAGGCGACGGTTATCACTTTCCATCAGGTGGGCCGTCAGCTTGTTTGCCATTCTAACTTGTATAAAAAAAAAGTTGACTGGCAAATTATATATCACATTAGGTGGGTAAACTACAATTGTAATTGTAAAAGAGATAATATGATACTACCCACATTTAACTACGTTGCACCAAAAGTATTTTGTACATTGCCAATTTGTGTGTGTTTATATTCTATATTGTAACGTCTTTTATAAATATTTAAGTCAAAGGAAATTATTTAACTATCCACTGAGATACAGGCTTTGCCTAGTTCAGTGACTAGTAACTAAATGTAATTTATTATTCAATACACAGTTATTATTAAAAAAAAGAAAGGGATTGTTACTAATGACATACTAACAAGTCCATTACTTGTGATGTACCTTAACAGGTCGTTCTTTACGCGGTTCCCCATGGAAACCATCGTGGTTAATTTGTATTGAATTCGTCACGATGGGACAGCTGACGTGGTGTGGTAATCCTGTCTACGACTGATTGCACAGGCCGGACTATTCTATTTTCATCCATTAAAATTTTTTTTCGATATTCAAAATTTTAATTTTAATGAATTGGTTGCATAGATTTCGTACGAACTTGTTTTTCCTCGAAGTGACGCAAGCCTAAAGTCTTAAAGCTCCAAAATAACAATGCAAAGATAATGAAACAGTATAGAGGTCGCCACTATTACTATTTCTGGTAAATATTGGGTGAAAGCGGCTTTCTAAGGTCCGACGGTGAGACAAGGATGTAACTATTTCGCAATATATAGTGAAAGGGACGGATATAGACGATTGCGTATGTTTACTGACCACTTCGGTCAATGTCGATAATTGGACATTATTATACAAAGGTCAAAACTAATACACTTTCAAGGTTTAGTGAATTTTAAATGACTATATTTTAAACTGTACATTATGAATAAATATCAACCATACTCGTCCACTGCTGAACGTAGGCTTCCCTTTATTTGGGGGTGGAGAAGAGGGGGGATTGCCAGTTGTTGCTATGCTTAGCAGGCGGCATGGCAAACGCAGTTAGGCATTGGAGGGACATTAAGAGGGACGCTACCCACAGCCATGTTGCCCATCCCTCGACCAATAATTCCCATTAGTAGCCTCTTACGACAATATAAAAGGAAAGGGATACTCCATTCTATTCCGGGCCTAGACGGCGATATTTATTGTATTATAATTTTTTTTTTAAATTTTTTAATACACTATTTTTTATACTGACGCCCAGAGTTACCACTCCTGATGAATAAAGTGTTATGCCTCTGTACCGTGTAATGTCACTGTTACATCTCATCCTTCAAACTGATATCACAAAATCAATGCTATGATAATTAACAACGAAACTTGGTTACTTTTCTTTTTCTGTTATTTTTTATTTCAACCAACTTTAAAAAAGGAGGACTTCAGTTAGGATGTATTTTTTTATGTCCGTCACCTCATAACTGCGTCATTTGTGAACCGATTTGGAAAATTCTTTTTTCATCTGAAAGTATATACAGATTGGATTCAAAGAAATTTTATCAAAAACGAGTCAGTAGTTTAGTTTCTACATCAAAATCACTTATTTTGCTACTATTGAAGTCAGTATTATTTATTTGTGGAACAAAAACTTAATTTTTATTTCAAGTTCTATTGAAATTGTCAGTAGTGAAAAACGAATATCTAGATGAATAAAGAACTTTTGGGAGCTTTTTTTGCTTTTGGGAGCTGCGGGCGATAATGGAAACTAGGAATAGAAGCTGGAAATATATATATATATTTCCAATACGTGATAATACAACGGTACTCCGCCTGTGCTAATGGCACACGCTGGCGGGCCATCAGCAAGGGATGATGACGGAGGGTGAGAATAAAAAGGCAGGTCAGTTAGTCCATAGAAAGAACTTAGGAGACTAAGGCCGTGAAGGGGAGCCAAAAGGGAACGATAGAAATACGTGTCAATTTTAAATTTGCCAAATAATTATAGAAAAACTATGAACAATATATGTGGCCTGTACTCCACAGAAGTCGTTTAAAAATAAAGATTTTTTGGTTTGTTCTGTAAGGAACAAGCTATGGTCACTGATGAGTGATACTAGTCTTATTTTTTTAAATTAAATTAAAACATAAATTGTTATTTTTTTCAGTTGGGAGCGCTGTACGCGAGTAAAGACCACCAGAGTCACCAGGGCTGGGAACCCCACCAGAAGGAGATACACTTGCATATACACAACGGCCACGTGTCCACTGACGAACATATATGTAAGTTTATATAATAAAACACTAAGTAGACAGGTATCACAATACATCATATAGATATTTCTTAATATTTGCGGAAATGCAATCTATTCTTTTTTTTATACCACGAAGGTGGTAAACAACCATATAGCCCGTCTGATTGTAAACGGTCACTGAAGAACTCCATACTGTAGTCTAGTAAAAACTTTGTTTTACCTTCTGTTACTCTTATTAAGTTTCCTCATATACATTTTTCTCAATATTCTTCCAATTACAGACATTGTCTAGTTACAATTTTATTATATTTCTCAAGGAAATAAGATATGATTTCATAAAATGCCTGACGTGACTTTGTAGTCACGAGAGTTGTCGATATATTAAGTTATTATCACTTGTCGTAAAAGTTGAGTCATATTACAAAGCCTTTATTTTAATGATATAATCATTTCACTAAGCGAAATCTAGTAGTAACCTATTGAATATAATTTAATAGGATTTGTATTATTCACAAGTTTTTTGCCTAACTCCATCTTTCGCCAAGTAGTACGAATTATAAAAGTAACACAAATGTTTCGCGCCAAAACAAGTTTCGTCCATGTACTTATAAAAATAGACACTAGATGTCGCTTTTACTTATTGTTACTTAGTAGGTACAATAAGATTTAAAATGATTAACATTTTAAATCTTATTGTACCTACTAAAATATTTTTATAAATTTTGTGAAAATTTGTTTTTCTGGAATATTTTATTTTATTGTTATTAATATATGAATTTCTGCCTACCCTAATAGGAGATAGGCGTGACATATATATGTATTAAGCGACTATTTTCTGCTACTCAAAACTAGATGGCGCTGTACATTCATTGAATAATTTTCTACAATAATTTAATTTTAATTACTCTTTATTTTTGCAGCCAGTTGGAATCGAGACAGCTTACCGTTGGGGGTCAACAAGAATATTAACGTGGCAGTCGACCCGTACAGTGCCGGACCACAGACAATAAACACGCCTTATGGAAGCTACATTAAAATTGATTAATTTATATTATAATTATGGACTTTATTAGAGACTGCGTTGATGCGTTCATAGTAAAATATTGTAAATAGTGATAATTAATTTTTTAGATTAACAAAATGAAGTCACATTATGTAATTAAATAATATATTTAATAACTCCCTCTGTGCGATGTTGCTGCCACCTAGAATAAGCAACTGTTTAGTATTAAAAAGTTTTGTTTATTTTTATATTTTATATTGTATATTTTGTTTATATAATTTATATAAAATTAAACGAAATACTTTAATTTCTATAATTTTTTTATACAACTTAGAATGGCAAACAACGCCATCCCTTAGCCACCCTTTACGACACCCACTGGTCGAAGGATGGGTAACAGCGTCCCTTTTAAAACATCACTAAACTAACTGTGGTTGGTTACCCCTCAAAGGCAGAACCCCCTAGGAGTATATATGATATGATAATGATCCTATTTTTTTTTGATGGGCGAAAATGGTATGGTAACCCCGCCTGCGCTAACGGGATACGATGGCGGAGCACCAGTGAAGGGTGATAGATGAGAATGAAAACAAGCCAGTTAGCACATCGTGATGAATTCATCAGGAATTAACCATGATAGTTTACAGGGGGAACTGTGAGGAGGTCTACCTGGTTGGGTATATTGCTAGCAATGGGATTCTCAGTCTCCATTACTCACAATCCCTTTCCCCCCTAATGATCCCATTGACGTGACCTTTATGAGTGATCGTCTTTCAGTGTCAAATTGTGCCTTTGAAGTTTTTCTCACTATGATTTCACAAATGTGATTAGATTAGTCGCTCATATTCTAAAGTCTAATAACCTACCAGAGGGAGACTTTGTACAAAAATCGATTGTTTGGGTACCTCTGTCCCATTCGTGTTTCAACCGTGAAGCAGTTGTGTTTGCATGGCTGTGTGTCGGTTTGAAGGGTGGGATATGGCGTGAATTTACAGGGTACAGAGGAATAACACCTGAGTCCTCAGGAATAGCAACGCATGGGAGGTATCATGGGCGAAACAGTATACTCTGTTATGTCCTTGCTATTGCTCATGTCTATAGGCGACGGTTACCACTTCCCATCAGGTGGGCCGTCACCTTGTTTGATATTCTAAGTTGCATAAAAAATTTATGAGTACTATTTTTTTTTTTAAATTATTGTTGAAACATGTTTTCGATTATATGGTAAAATATTTAAAATACTATAATTTCGTTTTGTCTTTTTTGTTAAATATTTTTATTATTTATCTTATTTATTTTACGCGACCGATTTTTAAGATTTAAGTAACAAATCATTTTAAATAATACCATATAATTGACACAATGGAGTTCCTTTAACAAGTCATAACAGAAACAATGAATTTTAAATACTTTTCTATAAGTTTTTTTGTTAGACTTTATCACAGCAGGCAAGACTTAATATTTACTGTGTAAAATACCTATATTAATATTTTTAAGTTATTTATTATTTAAATTAGAATAATTATATACTAAAATGTTTTAAATAAAGATTGGACAGTCTATTGACATTCCTGTGACTGTGTAAATAAGTTTTTTTTTTATGTAACTTAGTATGGCAAACAAGCTAAAGCCCACCTGATGGTAAGTGGTAACCGTCGCCTATAGACATGAGCAGTACCATGGACATAACAGAGTATACTGTTTCGCTTATGATACCTCCCATGCGTTGCCATTCCTGAGGACTCAGGTGTTAGTCCTCTGTACCCTGTAAATTCACTGCCATATCCCACCCTTCAAACCGAAACACAGCCATGCAAACACAACTGCTTCACGGTTGAAACACGAATGGGACAGAGGTACCCAAGCAATTGATTTTTGTACAAAGTCTCCCTCCGGTACTTAAATGAAAATTATAATATGATTATTTATTCGATTTTAAGCCTTTTTTTTTTTTCATTTTTAATAGATTTTATAAAGATGGAGGCACTCAATTCGTTCGTATTTCTTTTTATGTTTGTCACCTCATAACTCCGTCAGTTGTGGACCGATTTGGAAAATTCTTTATTTATACTTACAGATTGATCTCGGAGAAATTTTATCAAAATAGGTTTAATAGTTTTTAAATCAAATTAACTGGGCTTTTAACTTGCCACAATTTTTATGGATTTTCAAAAAGAGATTAATAAAGTTTTTATTCATTGGGTAAAAATAGAATAGTAACCCCCGCCTGCGCTACCGGTATACGCTGGCGGGGCACCAGTGAGCGATGATAGGTAAAGGTGAAGCAGGTCAGTTCTCACATAGTGATTTTTTTATACCACAAAGGTGGCAAACAAGCAAACAGCCCGTCTGATGGTAAACGGTCACTGTAGCCTGTCTTGAAGACACCTTAATATATCCCTTTTGAAGAACCCCATACTGTGTACATACATAAATATAAATAACTAACAGCCCGTCCCGGCTTCGCACGGGTGGACATTTTTAAAACATTTTAAAAAGTGATCATTGTGACATAACGATAATAGTTGGACATATAGTGTCGCGAAGTTTTTTGTAGTTATTGATATTTTCTTCAATATTGTAGAACATACTTTTGTTCTATCACCAATAGTTTCCGCAGCGCACGCGACCAAAGATATTTTATAGCATTTTTTACACCTTGAGTTACGTTACTAAAGTTTTAGTAAGGATCCCTGATCTTTTCTAGCAATAAATATAGCCCATGTTACTCAGGGTGAATGTAGCTTTCTAATGGTGAGAGAATTTTTGAAATCGGCAAAGTAGTTTTTGAGTTTATTCATTACAAACATACATACACACATAAATACAAATCTTTCCTCTTTATAATATTAGTGTATATAACACAATAATAAATATACGAGGTTTGTCCGGAAAGTATATAAAAGTTTTTTAAAAATTTTATTTTACAATTATTCAGGTAAATCAATTTTATCCCCTTTTCAAAGTACTCCCCTGTGACATAATGCACTTGAGAAGGCTCCTTGAAAGCCTTGGTTGTAGGTTTCTCAGCTGCCCCGTCGTAGCTTTTTTTATCTCATTTATGTCTGCCGCCCCCGAAGTACCAATTTGGTTTTTGGGAACAAGAAGAAGTCACACGGGGCCAAATCCGGCGAATAGGGGGGGTGTTCGGTCACCGTAATGGAATTTTTACTCAAAAACTCACGGACAACAAGAGAGGTGTGGGCAGGGGCATTGTCGTGGTGAAGAATCCAACGCCCCTCTCGCGCCAATTCTGGACGAACTCGTGCCACACGAGCTAGGCGTCTGAGCACATAGAATTTTCCATCAACTGTCTGGCCTGGGTTCGAATTCTTTCCACGTTTTCGTCGGAATGTGAAGTGGAAGGACGTCCTGAACGTGGGTCATCTTGAACAATCTTTTTAGCCACTTGTGGACGGTTGGTTCCTTCACAGCATCATCCCCATAAACTGTTCTGAGATCGGCAAAAATTTCACGGCCATTCTTGCCGAGTTTCGAGAGAAACTTGATTACGACGCGCTGCTCTTCAACGGAAGCGGGCTCCATGCCGACGGCGTTTCGTTAAGAGGTAACTACAGATGGCGTGACAAGCCAGTACGGCGGTCAGACCAGAACTGAAGCATTGTTAGGGACATAAGGAAGGGGTCCTGCGCTTACCTAATTCCAGAACACTTTTATATTTCCGGACAGACCTCGTATACATAAATAAACATACATAAAGTCTCGCCTTGCTTTCTTTCCCGCGGGTGTCGTAAGAGGCGACTAAGGGAGCGTATGGTGGAGGGATGGACAGCAGCGTCCCTCTCAAAACATCTGTAAAAGCCTAACTGCGGTTGCAAACCCGCCTGCCAAGCGTGGCAACTACTGGCAGAACTCCCCTTACAAGGAAGGCTTATGTCCAGCAGTAGACAATTAACGGCTGAAATAATAAATGTCTCGCCTTAGACTTAAAAGAGGCTCGATTTCGCCTGTGAGCTTTTGAAATGGGTGATAATGGTATGGTAACTCCGCCTGCGCTAACGGTATACATCGGCGGGGCACCAGTGAGGGATAGTAGGTGAGGATGAAGCAGCGCAGTTAGCCCATCTCGACGAATTCAACGATAAATTAGTCACGTTAGTTTCCAGGGGGAACCGCGTGGAGGTCGACCTGATAGGATATGTTGATGGCAATGGGAATTAACCTCCTTATTACTAACAATCTTTAATCGTTAGTTTATGGTAGTTTATAAAACAGTAATTTGACGAAATTATCAAATTAAAACATTAGGATAAGAAATAGGTTTAGAAAAATGGCGCTATAGAATCGAATCCAATATCTATGTAAATTTGGCTGTACATTAAAACGACCTTTGCCTAACTTTAAAATGGGACAACGAAGGGGGAAAAAATAAAACGTTCTCAGTTTGTATCTCCGTTAATTCGTAATAATTTTTTAAGACCTTGTTAAATATATAAATATTCAATTCTAGCTAGTTTTAGTTATAAACTAACACAAGGTCGCAAGCCATGTCAAGGGTAACACGTCAACTAAGCTGCACCTACTTGCATGACGTCAGCTGTTACAAACGCCCGCCATCTTGCTTTATTCTTGGCGCCAATTCTATTGCACTCTACCATAATGACACGATGATTTTATTAGAGATATTTTATTTGCCACCTCTGGCGACCAGAAGGCCGGCCTATACTTTGGTGAACGCATTTCCATTGCTATTCAGCGTGGAAACGCAGCAAGTATCCTAGGCACCCTACCAGCTGGCAGTGATCTCACAGAAATTTTATATCTTTAAATAATTTTAATTTTTTTATTTTTTTATTTCTTGTTCTTGATATTATAATGATGTTAATTAAAGAACATCTTATATTTGAAGTAGGTTGAAATTGCTTTAGTTTAATCACATAATTTTATAACAATATTATGTTATTTCTTAGACTTTATTATCTAATTAATTCATTTATTTGTTACCTTACTATTAACGTGCTTAATGTAAATAATTAACAAATAATATTGTAAGAAATATACAAATTGAATATTTTTATTTTATTGAAAAGAATCGAACGGATCAATAAATAACTTCGCCGTGTGGTCCCTGCTTAGAATGGGCCACCCCTTCCTTTCCCGTAGGGTCGTAAGATGCTACTATGGGAACTAAATGGTCAAGGGATGTAGTAAAGGATGGGCAGTAGCGTCCCTCTTAAAACATCACCAAAGTCTAACTGCAGTTGCCAACCAGCCTGCCAAGCGTGGCAACGACTGGTAAGACACCCCTTGTGGGGAAGGCCTATGTTCAGCAGTGGACAGTTAAAGGCTGATATG